CTTGACCCGGTCGATGGCAGACATAGAATGCTTCCAACCACACAGGGGTTTCTATAGGCCATTGCTCCCCTTGCCTCTCTGAGGGGGCCAGGTTCTGGCCGTGGTCCCCGGTAGGCCCTAGAACTCCATACACATGACTGATGCCAAAGTCTGACATTAGCATATCAGCCGGTAAAGCTCCGGGGAGCCGACGGGGCTCCCCCCAGAAAAAGGCACGTATTTTAAAGCTAGTCCCATAATAATAGAGCAATAACTGGAATTTTAACAAATATTTTAATTCTGGAAGCTCATCATCACAAAATTAATTATATTTTTCCAGTGTTCTAACAAAAATTTTTGTGGTACATCTTTCATTTTGGTATCAAATTGTTCGCGACGTAAATGCGCGCATTTTAAAACTAGTCCCACCATAATAGCATAATAATTAGAATTTTAACAAATATTTAAAAATTTTGACCAAAAGCCTATTTATAATCATACAAGTGTTCGGACATCAAGTTTCATGTTACATCTTTCATTTTGGTATCAAATTATGCACATTCTAAAGGCGCTTATTTTGATACTACCCCGAGGTCGATTGGATAAAAAATGAATTTTATACAAATATTTTTTGTAGTGGACGCAAGTCCGGTCCAAAGTTACCTATAGTGTTAAAATTTCTCAAGGGGAAAAAATTGGGATTGTCCTTTATCTCTCGTATAGCTTTCTGTTCTAATTTAATTTCTTCAGTCTGGTATGATTGCTTTAGTTTCTGCTCTATTTCATCAATCCTTGTTAAAATTATTTTTCTCGTTGGTATAGTCATGTCTGCTTAACCTCTGCACAGCACCATCCGACGTAACTCGGGGAATGAGCGGTGCGCCACCTGACTCGAGGGTGGTGTATGAAACTATGTGCATATGAAAAAGCCAATGACTTTTTCATGTGGAGTGGCTTTTCACTCAGCCATGATCAGTGTCACTGGATATTCAAAAGGTGCTAAATATCACTGAAAATGAGAACAAAAACACACAAGGCAAGTGATATCAAAAGCATAAGATTCACCAAGGAATTTTTTTCCATGGACAAATGTCCTCGAAGGACGTCAGGAAAGCAAGACATACGAATGTCCTGAAAATCATAACATTCCATAAAGAGGTGCACAATACAAATTGCATCGTAAGTGGGACGATGCAATTTGGACAGTAAGGAGCAACGAGGCATTACGTTGAATGTCCACGAGTTGAGCATGTACAGTATGGGCAATACATATCTAACCAAAGCCATTTCTCATCATTTATTAGGGTGGATTGAGTATTCAGTTTGTTACCAGTAACCTCAAACCAGTGACCCTGCCAGCAGTTGCAGGTTGCAGAAAAAATGAGTCTGAAGATGTCTGAATAAGGAATGCCTTGTTTAGAAATAGGACAAGAGCAGACAGCCTCCTTAGAGGCAGTGTCCACACATTCATTTAATAAGGTAATACCAATGTGGTTGAGAACCCAGCAAAACTCAGCTGTTTTAAATCTGCTGGAGATTAGAAATAGCCAATGTTGAATTCTAACTGCTACAAGGTGCATAGAGTTACATGCCTCCAGGGCTATGAGGACACTGCTGGAGTCAACCACAGAAGTACACTAAGAATGTGACATGCCCATGAGGAACTGAAAAATGTCACTGCTTGGTAAGGTTTTCAATTCATTTCAGGGTTTCATCAATAATTAACCACTTTCCTTTTGCCGGCTGCAGCATACTAAAACTGCTAATTAACACTATCGTGCCCCGTGCATGCGCACCTCCAACTTGGAGGTCACGCCCCCGGCGTGTGTACAAGCGTGTGGGCAAGGGCGCGGCGACATTTAAATGTGTACACTCATTTCAGTTTTCTCACCTTAATTCTCGTGCTACATCGTTCGTTTTGGTATCATTGTGTTCACAATTAAATTCCCTAAAGGTGTATAGGCATTTAATGTACAAAAACTCGGCATGCCTCCCCACAGGAAAGCTTAAAGTTACCCATGAACGAGCACCAATTGGCACACCGCAACTTAATGTGTATACTCGTTCAGTTTGATAACATCAATTTTCGGGTTACGTCTTTCATTTTGGTATCAAATTGTTCACAATATAAAGGAACATATTTTAAAACTAGTCCCATAATAATAGAGCAATAACTGGAATTTTAACAAATATTTTAATTTTGGAAGCTCATCACAAAATTATTTATATCTTTCCAGTGTTCTGACAAGATGGGTATGGGGTGCATAATAAATGAACTAAACTAAAAAAACTAACTGACAAATGTTTGTGTTACATCTTTCATTTTGGTATCAAATTGTTTGCAATGTAAAGGCGCACATTTTAAATCTAGTCCCAAAATAACAGCACAATAAATAGAATTTTAACAAATATTTTAAAATTTTGACCAAAAATGTATTTATAACCTTTCAAGTGTTCTGACATCAAGTTTTGTGTTACATCTTTCATTTTGGTATCAAATTGTGCGCACTCTAACGGCGCTTATTTTGAAGCTATCTCGAAGTCGATCAGATAAAAAATGAATTTTATGCAAATATTTTTGTATTGGACACGAGCACTGTCCACGGCTAGGACTCTTAAGATAAAAAAAAAAAAAGGAAGTGATCAGTGTCCAAAGCGAGCGATAGTGTTAATTAATATCTTTCATAGCAAAGTGAAGTGAAATAAAAGCAAAACAATTCTCTAAGTTACTATGGATCTCCTTTCGGTGTAACACTATAAAACACATGTATTTGTGAAATGAGAGGGAATGCAATAAGTCTTTTTCACCAGTCTCCTAGCCAAAGGCCTCTCTTTTTACTAAATACAGTACTAGTATATCACATAAATCGCCATTTTTACAAGATGGAAACGTACAAATATTCAACTGTTCTAGGTTACAGTATTTTAGAAATAATAATAATTCACAGAGGGGGCAAAGTAATTTGGTTAGGTCATTTTGTTAATTTGACCAATGAGTACAATATTGTCCTCTTAAACCCATGTAAATTAATTTGTCATTTTAGCCAAGCATGCCTTAAGATAATAGAAAATATCTAAATAAGTATTTCTTAGGATATTCTGTACAATACAGTAGGATCTTGCTCAAATGGATCACAGTGAAAATTAATATTTGCCAGGCCAGAAAGAATTGGCTAACAAATTCTTAGGGGACTAGAATAGTGTACTGTACTCAGTTCACCAAGCTTTCTTGATGGCCAAATACTGGCCTGTACAATATCTTAAAATTCTAGCTTAACAGTTAATAAAAATGCAACAAAATCTTGACCACTAAAACAGCTTGAGCAGTGGGGTCTATTTTGGAAGAAATTACAGCGGGTTTTCTCTTGGAAGTGGCTAGCTTTGATGAATTCTGCTAAGCAGAGGCTGTAATTTGCCTCTGGATATGGCAGAAATAATATTCAGAAGAAAGGTCATGAGACCTTATGTACTTTAATATCAATTGGATCAGGTTTCCATGATATCCCATGAGAAATCTTGAGTAAGTTACCCTGTAGTGATTCCGGGGGTTAAGGTCCCAGCGGCCTGGTCCGAGACCAGGCAAAACAAAGTTTTGGTTAGGAGTTTTAACAATTTACCTAAAAAAAAAAGGACTACCTTGGAAAGAGAGAATCTTTATATTTTTGGTAAAAATTACTGGGACTTCACAGGCATGCCATGCCATCACACCTAGCTGGATTTTGTTTTTAATCCCCAAAATGCAAATAGGAAATGGCCAAAAAATCTACAACTTTTCTAGTTTGGCAAACTAGAAAAACTTCTTGCCATCTGGCAAGACATCAGGACATCGATACCAGATGCAAGGGGTTGCTGACCAGTAGTACAAAACTCTTGTGTTAGTCTTGGATGCTTTTGTTCCTGATTTCACTTATTAACATTGTGCAGTGTTTGTGTTAACTATTTATGTACACAAAATTGAGAAAGGTACCTCAAGACTTTTTAACACACTACATACATTCGTGACATATCTAGCCAGCCTCTTACAAGTGAGAACTAAATAAACACCTCCAAAAAATACCTAAAAACCTGGTTGTGATTCAAACATCAGACTGCAAAAAGCAGTATCTAACAGGCTGGAAAACCAACAACTAGAAAGCCAAGTCAGACATGGCCACAGAACACCAATTCCCAGAACTAACACAAAATAAGGTAGGCTTAGTGTACTAAGTAAATCCTGGCACAGTTCAGTGGAAGGATCTTGCAACTCACTACAGTACTCTACAGTGATTCTGTCTGGGAATGTCATTCAGGCTGGTTGACCAGACCACCAACCAAGAAGCCTAGTCAGAGACCAGGCCACAAGGACATTACTCTCCAGAACCAACAACAGGTAGCCACAGATTCAAACGATTAGTAAAGGCCAATTCATTATTTGACAATAAAAGAAGGCCAGAGTCCACGATACCATTATTGCATAGTAACCCATTACAAAATGAGATCCAATATTTTTTCCATTAGTTATAATCACAGTATTGTAATATTGATATACTGTACACACTAGGCAATAACAATTGTCAAATGACAATAATTGCAGTGGCCCAGGTGATTAACATTGAGGTTACTTACAGTAGTTCCAGACTAGGCTGGATTGGATCCAGTCCAAGCAGGGACCAGAAACAGTAAAAACCATTACCATTCAATCTGAATTGAACAAATAATTTCTAATGAAAAAATGTTTGTTCCTAACAAATGTGAAATACAGTACCAAAAACATTTCACAACTGGCCAAAAGACAAACATATTTCAATATTAGAATGGTAATATAGTACAGCAATATAAATTAGCATGAAATCCTATTTATCTTTCTGCAAAAATTTTCATGAAAGAAAGACAAAAAATAGCTATACAGGCATACTTAATGAATGGGAGCACATCTGCAACCATTGAGAACAGACTTGTACACTGCATGCCGTATGTACATGACTGAACCAAGACAAATATATTAATTTTTCAAATGGAAAGTATCATGAAAGAAAGGATACAGTGCATCAAGTGTTGAGACATCATATAAGTTTAAATTCTTGGTGCTCTTTGAGTTAGTTTTCTTCTCCTTGGCTAGCTGATCGCGTTCAAAGTGATCGAGGCGATCCAGTGTGAGGGAATCGTAACCATTGCTACTGGCAAAGGATATCCAGCAGGCAGCAATGCCCTCGCCATCCACGCCATACTGAGAACACAGTTCCAAGCCTGGGGACCAAGACATTGTTTCAAGTTATTAAAACCGGTATACAAATGAGTAGGTGTGTTAGCAAGAAACATAAAACAAATACAGTACATAATGAATATTTAGGAATCCTAAGTCAGCCATATTGCAATGTAAAAATCCTTATAAATATTATCTAAATTAGATTGTACAAGAAAATAAAATCAATATAATCGTAAGTGTGAATGAATAAGAGGTGTTAATGACATTGTTTGCAATAATGCACTATAATGGGACAAAATTAAAATTTACTATCTGCAATAAATATCAATAAATTCCAAACGTGAGCCACATGGAGAACCAAATCTTGAGAATCCAGAAGATATGCAGGGATCAGACCCTAAAGAAGAAAGGACGAAAGAAACCCAACACGATTCAAAATAATGACCCATTGGGAAGTAGTTGGAAGAGCCGGAGAAGAGAGCCAGGAAGGAAATGAGCCAATTAAATAGCCTGTCCCATTGCCACAAACTCATAAATCATACTGCATGCCCAAAGAACCTGAGAAGTATGGCAAACACTCGCAACAAAGTCACAACCCAGGACTGAAAGAGCAAGATACACGGGTGAGAGAGGATGAAGACACCAGAGGACAACCCCGAGAAGTCAGAGGGCAACCCAGCAAAGCTGATGATGGGCCAATGGCGCTCACCCAACATTTGTGGCAGTGGTGAAAGACTATACTGGAGGAACCAGAACAATGCCTAGAGCCTAATCCCGCCCAGAGGCGGACACCACAAAGCCAAAAACTCTGGCTTATGCACAAGTGCACAACTGCTGAGAAATTCAGAGCCTCACCAATACCATACAGACAAGAATCTGTAGGCTGAGCAGAGCTGCCACCACAGGGACCATACCCTGTGGTTTGGTCCCTGTGGTATGGTTTGCATACCCTGGCTTGCAAACCATGGTGTGGTTGCATGCCAGGGTGCTGCAAGCCAGCAACATGCAGATTGACTGGGAACACAAACCGGCCAAGACAAGACAAAATAGACAAGAACACAACCTATAGCACTGTATCATCCTTTGCAGATGACACTAGGATCTTCATGAGAGTAGGCAACATAGAGGACATGGCAAACCTCCAGTCAGATGTAGATCAGGTCTTTCTATGGGCTACAGAAAATAATATGGTATTTAACGAAGATAAGTTCCAGCTCATGTGCTATGGAAAAAATGAAAATTTAAAAACGGAAACCACGTACAAAACTCAGGCAAATCATAACATAGAACGTAAAGGCAATGTAAAGGATCTGGGTATACTAATGTCGGAAGACCTTACCTTTAAAGAACACAATAAAGTATCCGTCACAACTGCAAGAAAAATGACAGGTTGGATAACAAGAACTTTTCACACTAGAGATGCTATACCGATGATGACACTTTTCAAAACGCTTGTGCTCTCTAGAGTGGAGTACTGCTGCACAATGACAGCCCCTTTCAAAGCTGGAGAAATTGCTGACCTGGAGAGCGTGCATAGATCCTTTACTGCTAGAATTCACTCAGTAAAACACCTAAACTATTGGAACCGACTAAAGAGCCTAAATCTGTACTCCCTTGAGCGCAGGCGGGAGAGATACATAATAATTTACACGTGGAAAATATTAGAGGGGCTGGTCCCAAACCTGCACACAGAAATAACATCACATGAGACCAGAAGACATAGCAGGATGAGCAAAATACCCCCGTTGAAAAGCGGAGATGCAACAGGTACTCTGAGAGAGAACTCTATCAACATCAGAGGCCCGAGACTGTTCAACATGCTTCCACTACACCTAAGGGGCATAACTGGCAATCCCCTCACAGTGTTCAAGAGAGAACTGGATAAGCACCTCCAAAGGATACCTGATCAACCAGGCTGTGACTCATACGTCAGGCTGCGAGCAGCCGCGTCCAACAGCCTGGTTGATCAGTCCAGCAACCAGGAGGCCTGGTCGACGACCGGGCCGCGGGGACGCTAAGCCCCGGAAGCACCTCAAGGTAACCTCAAGGTAGGCCAGTTGTCAAGGTAGGGCAAAGCATCGATATCTGAAAAAAATGCTGCCAGGTAAATAAAATATTACCCTGGGTAACCTGGGAAGAACCAAGGAGCCTGAATTAACCCAAAAAGGAGAACCCGAAAGCAGGAAGCCCGAAGCCCCACAACAAACCCTAACTAGGCCCCAAACCTAGGATGAGCATACCTGGAGAGGGTTTTAGTACTGTAGTTCTACTCCCGGAACAGAAACGTGTGGAACATGTCAACAGAGATTCAGACACTATTCAGAAAAACTGTCTGCTACACCTGGACTGTACCTGTTGCGAGTTCTGAGAGTTCTACTTCAATCCCAACTGGGGTCAGACTTGACAAAGATAACTTGGTCTAATAAGCTGTTTGGAGTGGCCCACAGGCCCATATATCCAATACAAGTCATTTAATTGGGCACTTACATCAGACCTGAGCTAGAGTAGTCATGCTAAAGGCCAGACCCTGAAAAAAAGCAGGTAAGACCATACCACAGGGCCGTCAAGTCCTGCAAAGTTACCGGGAATAACCGGGCCACACAGTAAAAAGATGTGGAGTCCAATTAAGAGGCAATGACCAAAAGGAATCACAGAAGAAACCATGCCCAAGAACACAAACTGGAGGGGCCAAGTACTACTACTACCCAGGAAAGACTACCTGGGGAAATTACCCAGAAAAGTCGCAAAGCACACACTCGCAACAGAACACTGTAAAAGAAGCCAACTGAGAGACTAGAATGAAGTGAGTGCAGCCTAAAAAAAACATGAAAAACAGCACCTCAGGAAAATGGAACAAAACCTGGGAGGCAGATTGAAGAGTATGAATCAAGCCAAAAAGAAAGCATAGGCATACAAGTTAGATGTGCCAAAGTACAGAGCCACGTGGGGTAAAGCCTCTGAAAACCACACCACAGCCACAACACCCAGCACTGAAGACAGAACATCCAGGGAACCCCTGAATACGACAACAGGTCAACCACAGCCAAGATGCAGGAAATGGACAGTCAAGTGAATACAGGATTCATGAACCTCTGCAGCCACAGTTCCAGAAACACAGCTGCACAAGGATGTAACAGCTGCTACAGCTGCTGTAACATGCCCAAAACTTGGGGCAGAACTGGAACAAGCAAGCACAGCTTCAGCAGTGCAAATGAGACAGCTCAAGATACTGTAACTTGAGACTCCACCTCACACCACTCAAGCACATGGGTATGGCAAAGGTCAGGCAATGACCCCAAGAAACGGAATGAGTTGTTTGCATGCCAGGATGAAGCAGGAACCTCGTAACTTATAAGGCAGAAACAACCCCACACTCAAACAGCAAGAAAAAACAATGGTCAGACACATTTCCTTTTGCCTGATGCCTCTGTTCACCTAACAGCAAACAGGTACCTGGGAGTTTGCCAACAGCAGTGGGTTGTATCCTGGGAAAAGTTAGTAATACCAACCTAGGTAGGCCTTGATAAGCCTAAATACAGATTCCCTGTCCTGGACAACTGGAATTAAGCCCCAAAGTTCAACCCAACAATAACAATGATAATTCCATTTGTCGGGAAAAGGAAGCCTGTACTCACCTAGTAAGAAAACATGTACACAGATTTACTTGAGTGTACTGTATACATCTACAGATAACCACCTACAAAATTCTCAGGGGAATTGACAGGGTGGACAAAGACAAACTCTTTAACATGGGCAGAACACGAACTAGGGGACACAGGTGGAAACTTTGTACCCAAATGAGCCACAGAGACGTTAGAAAGAATTTTTTGAATGTCAGAGTAGTTAACAGATGGCATGAATTAAGCAGTGATGTGGTGGAGGCTGACTCCATACATAGTTTCAAATGTAGATATGATAAGAGCCCAATAGGCTCAGGAATCTGCACACCAGTTGATTGATGGTCGAGAAGCGGGACCAAAGAGCCAAAGCTCAACCCCCGCAAACACAACCAGTTGAATACAACTAGGCGAGTACATACATGCTTCAGGTGTGTATCCAGGTCCCCAAAAGGTCAAACTACTGACCTTCCTCAGGACGCAACTCCACAACAGTTGCCAGACTCTTGGGGACCTATTTACTACTAGGTGAACAGTGGCATTAGTTAAAAGAACACGTCCTCCCAACCATTCCTTTCCCGCCCAGGAATCGAACCCCGATTATGTCGACAACGAAGCCAACTATACTCAGTCGACACGAGTTCACAAAACCTACCCTATCATACGCACAAAACATTGTATGAAGTACAGCGTGGCTGTACGAAACTTATTACATATGAAACACATCGGAAAAAAAGGTAGACGTTATATACAAAACAAGAGGAGAAAACAGCAGTGTGAAACACACCGTCACCACTGGACCCCTGATCCCTCTAGCCACCCTCCCGGGGTCACCCCACACCCGCCTACACCACTTACATCTCTCCACCAGCTCATTATCCCCCAGCGCCACGCCGAAGGTCTCAAAATCCTCGACGATCTGCTCGGCGGTGGACATGGCTCTCGACCCCTCGGGAGGCACTCACGTTTCCCGCGCTGGGATCAGCTGTTCACCCAGGCCCTCATCCCCGGCTCCTCCAGCCTCTCTATCCCTCCCCAGCTGCCCCTGCGTCCCTCCGGCACCTGCAGGATAGATAACACTTACGCTGGGGCTCGGTGGAGGGACGGGAGAGCGGCGACGGATTCAGCAACAAGTGGTCCCCCAAGTTTTGGGGACGAGATTATGGCCGCCGATACAAACAAAGGAAGATGGTTCTTTTTCGCCCTGCTCGGGGATTTTGCTCTGACACGAGTGAGAAAAATATTTATTGTTGCGCAGTTAAGCTGCTTTGTATAAGAAGCCATAGATTTTATCCGTTGCTTGATAATTTATGCAGCTTCTTTGCGAATTTGGAAACAATTTGCTTCCGGGATTGTTGAGAGGAAAAAGGGCAGTCATCGAAAAAACATTCCTAAGTAAATATATAACAATAATTAATCAGCTTAATTATACCACTACCGAAGAGTTATAATCATAATTAAGTATTTAGCTTACCAAATGTTGCTATCGAGTGTTTTAACCAAAATAAATAAATATAGAGAATATGCGTGACGTGTACGTAGGCCTAATAGTTTTTTATTAATTAACAAGCTTAAGTACCTGAATTTACCTAAGAGCAACTACCACTTGTGCCCTCGACGAGAACAGGAAGTCGGCAGCTTGTCGAAGATCTCCCTATTTGCCTTGATGTCTGTGTACACAGCAATGTGCTGCTACCCCATCCTTTATTTTTACTATTAGTGTCTGCAAAATCGAGCTATTAGCTCTAACTAACAAATGTATTTTATCTACTACAGATATTCCTCTCTAACACACACACACAAACGCGCGCGCACACATCCCAAGGAAGTAGCCCATAGCAGCTATCTAACTCCCAAGTACCTATTTACTGTTAGGTCAACAGGGGCATCAGAGTGAAAGAAACTGCCCAATTGTTTCCGCCTCCGCCGGGAGTCGAACCAGGGCCCTTAGGACTACGACCCCCAAGCGCTGTCCATTCAGCTGCGAGGGCCACTATGAATGATTACAGAGTATAGATCAAAAGCTGGCTATGCATTCATACACACCACTGGGTATGCTAACACGCAGAACAATTTTTACATCTGTATTAGACTCATTTCAGGACCTAGGTTTAGTCATCTCAGCAGAGAAAACAAAGATACTAAATGTTGACCAGACCACACACTAGTAGGTGAAGGGACGGACCGAAACGTCGTCGTCCTTTCACCTTCTAGTGTGTGGTCTGGTCAACATACTTTAGCCACGTTATTGTGACTCATCGCCTACAAGATACTAAATCGGCGCCCTTCCAGGCAGGGAGGAGCTGTTCACAAGATGCAGCAACTGTATGATGGCTCTCAGCTTGACTATGTAAACGGAGCTCTCAAGGCAATGTAGGTTGACCCAAATATCAGACTGAAGTGTGTACAAGTCTCTAAACTTGATATATTAATTGTAACTCTTTATCATCCTTAATTGCTGTAACAGACATAACTGTAACATGCTCGTGTCTGAAGCTAGACACAAATACAACTAAATTATTAATGATGGTAATAGAGTTCATTTTATGTGGACTCCATCTCCTGTTGGCCTCTGAATGCATAATAGAGTTGATAAGTTAGCCAAAGAATTTACCTTTAAAGGAGAAAGTGAGTATAACCTTGGATTGTCAATAAGCAGTCTGTATAGTATACACCAAAAACTTCAACAAAATCTTGTAGATCTGAGGCAAAGTGAAATCGACACCAGTAATTCCATCTATCATCATACTATCAAGCAAGAGGAGCCACGCATCTATGGATCATCCAATAACATCAGCAGACTTCTAGATGTTACTACGGCTCTGCTTAGACTCGGTTACAAGTATCTCTGGGAATTCTCATTATCTACTGATGTAGACCTGACCAAATGTACACTGTGTCAACAAAATTATTCGCACACTTTCCGTCACTATGTGATGGAGTGCGAAAAGATACGTGAATTCAGAGACAATTCTATAACCAATGTTCCAGAGATATGTAAATATTTAATTCAAAATGATCTGCTACCAGAAATCTTAGCCAGATATCCCCAGTTTGCTAACTGTATATAGTAACTAAGTGACTGTAACCTATCACCGCTGCCCACTGGATGGGGGGCGGTGTGCAGGACAAATATATCAGTTATGACACTAGGCTCTCCACATATGTCAGTTGCTTAATTTAGAAACTGTACTTATGGTTAATCTCGAGCCCATTGTTGATGTAACGATGTGTATTGAATTTTGTAACTAATTCATCAAGATTGTAACTTGCTTAGCTAAATGAATTGTGGGGTTCAGTCCCTGAGCCCATTATGTGCCTCTGTAACCTTTTCCACTACCGCCCACAGGATGGGTATGGGGTGCATAATATATGAACTAAACTAAAGCGTTCATCAAATAACCATCTCAAAGGATGACTATAGTCATACAAATATAGAATCAACAAAAAATATGAGTCTAGTCTACTAGCCTACACTAGCAACGTCTGGGTAGAGCACTAGAATATCTTCCTATATTTGTGAGTATATGAAGTAGTTACGGAGCTCAAATTATCTCTTGCCATTTAGTCTACCTTACCTTGAGGTTTCTTTGAGGTGCTTCCGGGGCTTAGCGTCCTCGCGGCCTGGTCGTCGACCAGGCCTCCTGGTTGCCGGACTGGTCAACCAGGCTGTTGAACGCGGCTGCTCGCAGCCTGACGTATGAGTCACAGCCTGGTTGATCAGGTAGCCTTTGGAGGTGCTTATCCAGTTCTCTCTTGAACACTGTGAGGGGTCAGCCAGTTATGTCCCTTATGTGTAGTGGAAGCGTGTTGAACAGTCTCGGGCCTCTGATGTTGATAGAGTTCTCTCAGAGTACCTGTTGCACCTCTGCTTTTCAATGCTTTTGGTCTGAAGTCATTTATAACAGGGCACTAACAAATATATATATATATATATATATATATATATATATATATATATATATATATATATATATATTTTTTTTTTTTTTTTTTGAGATATATGGTCACTGCTTGCATCACAAGCGGGGATGTTTCTGGCGGGGGAGAAAGAAACAATTGCGCAGCGCGTCCCGCGGCATTGCGCGGGCAGTTTGGGGCCGTATAAATACGGGCGCACAATGGGGCTCCGCCTCACTCCGCCTGCCCTCGCCGCTGCCCTCGCAATATATATATTGCGAGGGCAATATATTATATATATATATATATATATATATATATATATATATATATATATATATATATATATATATGTCGTACCTAGTAGCCAGAACGCACTTTCAGATGTTAGATTCAGATTCAGATGTTTATTCAGGTAAGGTATATACATACAAGTGATGTTACATTAATGGATTGATATATAGATAGAGCTAGTACATACAATGCCTAAAGCCACTATTACGCAATGCGTTTCGGGCAAGAAAAACATTAATATCTAGAACTTAATACTAATTGAGCATAAAGAATAAAAGAAGTTGAGAACAAATACAAATAAAGATAAAAAAAAAAAGGGGGAACATGACTGAAAAAGCAGCACAAATACAATAGGTTGACAAACAGTGTTGATTAAAAAAAAAGAAAAAAAAAGAAAATAACAGACATGGGTTGACAATAGAGGAGTGAGGTAAATTACAGGGAATTTATTAGGTAGTGTTTAGTTTTTATCTTAAACTGGTTGAGAGAGGTACAGTCTTTAACATGGTTGGGAAGGTCATTCCACATTCTGGGCCCCTTGATTTGCAGAGCATTTCTAGTTTGATTAAGACGTACTCTAGGAATATCAAAACTGTATTTATTTCAGGTGTGGTGCTCATGGGTTCTGTTACAACCTTCTATGAAGCTTTTAAGATCAGGATTGGCATTATAGTTTAGCGTTTTATATATGTATAATACACATGAGAGAATGTGCAGTGACTTAATATCTAACATATTAAGAGATTTGAGTAGGGGTACCGAGTGATGTCTGGGGCCAGAGTTGGATATTGTTCTAATAGCGGCTTTGTGTTGGGTAATTAGAGGACGTAAGTGATTTTGGGTAGTAGAACCCCAAGCACAAATACCATAGTTGAGATAAGGATAGATAAGGGAGTAATAGAGAGTCACCAGAGCAGGGCGTGGTACATAATATCTGATCTTAGAAAGAATGCCCACAGTTTTTGAAACTTTTTTTGATATATTTAGAATGTGTCCCTGGAAATTCAGCTTGTGGTCAATGAGAATGCCAAGGAATTTGCCATCTAATTTGTTACAAATTTGGGTATTGTTTATTTTGAGATTTATAAGACTAGAGGATTTATTGCCAAACAGAATATAGAAGGTTTTGTCAATGTTAAGGGTGAGTTTGTTGGCAGTTAGCCAAAGATGGACTTTATTTAGCTCAGTATTTACTGTGGCATTTAGAGCAAGAGGGTCAGGACTGGAGTAAATGAAGGTTGTGTCGTCAGCAAATAGAATTGGTTTGAGGTGTTGGGAGGCATTTGGAAGGTCATTAATGTAGATGAGAAAGAGGAGAGGGCCAAGTATGCTGCCCTGAGGAACACCAATGTTGATGGGTAGGGTGGGAGAAATTGTATTATTCACAGAAACATATTGGAGCCTGTCAGTAAGGTAGGACTCGAGGTATTGTAGGGAGTGTCCTCTGACTCCATAATGATGTAATTTAAGAAGAAGGTTTTGGTGGTTGACAGTATCAAAAGCTTTACGCAGGTCCACAAATAACCCAACAGGGGGCTCCTTTTTATCAAGAGCTGTATGAATCGAGTTAAGCATACTAATAAGTGCATCGTTAGTGCTTTTTTTGGGTCTGAAGCCATATTGGCAAGGGCTAAGTATATTGAGTTTGGCTCACTTCTCAGCCTACTATGCAAGGTCCGATTTGCCTAATAAGCCAAGTTTTCCTGAATTATTATAATTATTATACACCCGCCAAACCCCCTGTTTATGAATGAAAAACGGTTTACACACGACTCAACTCATTTAGTTCGAACACTTCCGGAACAAATGCTTCACTGACGAATTTTGTTCGAACCACAACCCTATAAATGCTTCACCCACGTACTA